CCAGGTCGCGCTGAAGGGCGGCCCGCCCTTCCGGTGTGTCAGCCACTCCTTCCAGTTTGGTATCATCGGCAAATTTGCTGAGGGCACGCTCTGTCCCCTCGTCTGCGTCATTGATCAATATGCTGAATAAGACTGGACCAAGCACTGACCCTTGGGGCACACCATTAGCTACAGGCCTCCAACTAGACTCTGCACCGCTTATCACAACCCTCTGGGCTCTGCCATTCAGCCAGTTCTCAACCCACCTCACTGTCCACTCATCCAACCCACAGTTCCTAAGCTTGCTAACGAGGATGTTATGAGAGGTAGTGTCAAAATCCTTGCTGAAGTCAAGGTAGACAACATCCACTGCTCTCTCTTCATCCACCCAGCTGGTCATGCCATCATAGAAAGCTATCAGATTGGTCAGGCATGATTTCCCCGTGGTGAATCCATGTTGACCACTCCCAATAATCTTCTTCTCCTCCACATGCTTATTGATGACCCCCAGAATGAGCTGTTCCATCACCTTTCCAGGGACAGAGGTGAGGCTGACTGGCCTCTAGTTTCCTGCATCCTCCTTGCCCTTTTTGAAGACTGGAGTGACATCGGCTTTCCTGCAGTCCTCAGGCACCTCATGTTTTGCATGACCTTTCAAAGATGATTGAGAGCAGCCTAGCAATAACATCTGCCAGCTCCTTGAGCGCTCATGGGTGCATCCCCACGAGTTTGCCTAGGTGTTCTCTAACCTGATCCTCCTCAACCAAGGGAAGGTCTTCCTTTCACAAGACTTTCTCTCCTACCTCCAGGGTGTGGGATTCCTGAGGGCTGGCCTTAGCAGTAAAGACTGAAGCAAAGAAGGCATTCAGTAACTCCACCTTCTCTGTATCCTCCACCAGCCAGGCACCCACCTCATTCAGCAGTGGGCCCACATGTTCCCTAGTCTTCCTTTTGGTGCTGATGTATTTGAAAAAGCCCTTCTAGTTGTCCTTGACATCCCTTGCCAGTTTTAATTCCAGCTGGGCCTTAGCCTTCCTTGTTGCATCCCTACATTATCTGACTACATCCCTATGTTCCTCCCAAGTGGCCAGTCCATTTTTCCATGTTCATTAAACTTCCTTCTTTCCTTTGAGTTTTTCCAGTTCCTTGCTCATCCATGCAGGTCTCCTGCCTCCTTTGCTTGATTTCCTATTCTTTGGGATGCACTGATCTTGAGCTCAAAGTGGTGCTTGAATATTGACCAGCTCTCTTGGGCCCCCTTACCTTCTACAGCCCTAACCCATGGGCTTCTCCCAAGCAGGTCTTTGAAGAGACCAAAGTGAGCTCTCCTGAAGTCCAGGGTTGTAATCCTAGTTATTGCTCTGCTCCTTCCATGCAGGATCCTGAACTCCACCATCTCATGGTCACTGCAGCCAAGGCTGCCCCCAACCTTCGCATCCTCAACAAATCCTTCTTTGTTAGTACAAGGTCCAGCAGCACTCCTCTCCTCGTGGGCTTCTCCACCATTTGCATCAAAAAGTCAATGCTCTGCAGGAGTCTCCTGGACTGTGTGTGCCTGGCTGTGTTGCCTTTCTAGCAATATTTCCTGCAGATTTAAACTTGCCTTGACCAAAACGTTCCTGGAGCAGCAGTGAGGAAGCAATTTCCAGCCCAGCATCCCAGGAGTAGTACGGGAGGGGAGCACCCTGTGCAAGGGGGACCCTTCAGAGGTGGGGTCCCAGCTGGCAGAGCTGGGTTGCAGAGCCGTCAAGCACACCGACCTCATGGGCAGTGACTCCGAAGAGGACCATGGGGCGACCAGGTTGCTGGGGGCATGGAGTCCATCTCAGGGCTGGCTCCAGGGAAGGGACCAGAGTAGCTAAGATGCTGGCTGAGGAGATGGTGCACAAGAAGGAAGGATACAGGTTCCCAGGGACACTTCCTCGAGCAGAGGTAGCATCACGTGGTGTATGTGGATCTCCAGAATGTTCTCACGAGGCCCTTCACCAGAGGAGGCACAGCAGGAAAGGGCCAGGGAATACAGCAGAACTGGTTGCACCCAGCAGCTGGCAGCAACATGGTCGCTGAGGTGGGGTGTGTGGGGGACCGGGGTTGCC